TATACGTAACCATGGAATGACTCAACAGTAAACCAAATGTTGGCAAATCATAGTAAAATTGTCGCAGTAAACAATTAACGTGGGTGTATTGGAAAATTCAAAATATGTTGACTAATTAATTAACAAAGAAATACATATCTAGTACATTAATCTAAAGGTGAGAAAAAAAACGACAAAATATTTCCACACCTTCGGCTATCATTGACAGTAGAATGCTGTGAGCTCTTCTAACTTTTGATTTTGCAACTCCTGACGTTTCATTAAGACTTCATTTTCACTGAAAACCAACTGGCATTGCTTCTCCAATTGTTGCCTAGTGGATTAGAAAATTTCGTGAGAAAATAAAACCCTTCCGAAAAAAAAGCAAGTGGCTTGTTGCGAGTAAGTAGTCAAACGCGGCTAATCATGCAGATTTTCTTCGGAAAGAAATTGCGTATTCTCAAATTTTTAAAGGAAACAAGAAAATTTGTTTTGCTCCCGTTACACATGTACTTAATCTTTACTTTATTAAAACGGTAAGCCTTATCTTATATAGACAAACAGGCCAAAATTGTTTCACAAATAACCTCGGTTTTGATGAAACATTCCCTCCTTTTCCCAATTTAGATTATAAGAACTCCAGATTTTCTCGTTCGTTATTAAAAACACGAAATGTCCACTGTCTGAATAAATTATAAATTTTATAGTGATTTTTTCAAAAGTATTTCCCAATTGGAAAGTAGCTCTTTGGTAAAGAACACCTGGGGCCAGTTGCTCGAAAGGCGTTTAGCTTAAACGGTGGATAAGCCAAAGTTTAAAAATACTCTCATACATCTCGTGAATGACTGAACCTGCATCTTATGCATTCAATGTGTACTTCCATTGAGAATTAAACTATATTTGCATCGAAATATTACAGCTCAGTTGTTCAATAAATAGATCATTTTGTTTTCTATTTTAGACTTATCCACCGTTTAAGCTAAACGCCTTTTGAACAACCGGCCCCTGCACGACTTTTTAAAACCATATGCAGAAAGATTTTTTATACAGGCACCAATGAACTAAGGGGCTGTTTACATGAGCCCGGTTACCCGAAATTCAACGAAGCGTGAGAGGACTTTGAGGTATTGAAATAAGTGTTTATGACACCAAACAAGCACATGCTATTGTTGTGGTGATTATACGACTGCCAGGATCATGTTATCTGCTCATTTCAATACCTTAAATTCATCTCACGCTTCGTTGAATGTAAACAGCCCGTAATTTTGCAGTTTTGTGCAATTCATTCTCCGTCATAGCCGGGACAAATGAAAGCTTCTCAACCTTACACAATATAAAGTCAAGAAAGCATTAAAGACATAGTTCGTACTAAATATGCTGGTTATTTTGATCTCTCATTAGGAAGACAATAAAACTGCAGGTTGCAATTGTTTCTCCATTTTTGGGGGGATCTAAAAACTGTTCTACAGTTCTCTTTTATGCGTACAGAAAATTTTAAACAATTTTATTATTTCTTTTAAAATCAAAAACTACATAAGTAAATAAAATCATTTTTCATTCACGCATTTGTAAAATTTTTAAAGTGCATGTTAATATCACACGGTTGCGCATTTTGAATACATCAAAAGGTATTTTTAAAAAAAATACGCAAAATATTTTGTTGCTGCAATGGTCTATTAGCCTTTAAAGTTACCGCACGTGACGTCAAATCGGAAATTTCGTACAACTTAAACAAAAGAAAACTGATTTGCAATGCCGTTATACCCACACGCGCGTTCAAAATTCCACATTGAAAACACATTTAGCGACATATATAGATAACGAAATTCACAGTTCTTACCATTTCATTAGCAGCATCCCTTTCTAAAGTTGTCTTTTCAGCCTACACACGCACAAAGAAGACGTTCAGAGAACGGTTGTACAAAGTTGAACCTCAATTGGTTCATTATATCTCATAGACACTAATACGGATTAGTTCCACTTACCACTTTTAGTACTTCACTTAGGGTGTTTTGCCCGGCAGCCTCCCTTTGATGAAGATGGGAAAATTGTTCTTTAAGAAGTACAGTCTTACGCTCATTTTTTCTAAGATAGAAAGGAAAAAGCATCTCTTCGATATACAGCGAGAAACAAGCAAAAGAAAACGCTTTGCAAGTACAGGCGATGCTCAAATCTCAAAATGCGATGACTTAATTCTGGAACATACTCAAGACAGATGACAAGTCATTATGAATGCATGCAAAACGATATCGAGCTTTCGTCCAACCGGGCACGTGTTATACATGTGATGTGTGACCATACCTTTGAAATTCTGTGAAACTGTGAATCTCTGTTTCTAATTGCGCATTAACCAACTTACAATCTGCAATGAGATAGTAAATCATATAATAATGAAAACAGCATTGCCTGGTGTTTCCCAATCGAGGGACACAAGGACAGCATCAACTAGCGTTGAACCAATTTTTGGGATATTACCTAATTTCTGAACTACGCAAAGGTACTGAAGTTCAAAAGTCGAAGACGACGAGTGGGTGAGACTAAAATTTCATATTCAAGTACGTAGGTACGTATCCGGACGTATCTTTAAATCACTGTTCGAAACATGCCAATTGCTGTACGATCTGTTTCAAAATTAACCTCTAATGAATCGCAAGTGCTGTAAAACAACTTGCAGAGGTTATAGACATAGCTGCAATGTTACCTGCTAATTGCATCGACAGATTGTTATTCTCATTTCGCAGACCCTAAAACGAAAGTGGAATAAAATCGTAATTACGAAAGCAATATATAATTAATGGTATTTAAAAACGAACCTGCAGCTGAGAAGCGAGGGAGTTGATTTCTTCTTGCGTCTTTTCCCGTAATTCACTCAACTTTCTAAGAACAGAAACACCACGTGAGAGTGGAGAACCAAAGAGAATCATCGCGATTCTGAGAAAGGTGGAATTTTTGTTTGAAATAATTTAGAACCGCGAGTGGGCAATTACCGCGTGTATACGTAACCATGGAATGACTCAACAGTAAACCAAATGTTGGCAAATCATAGTAAAATTGTCGCAGTAAACAATTAACGTGGGTGTATTGGAAAATTCAAAATATGTTGACTAATTAATTAACAAAGAAATACATATCTAGTACATTAATCTAAAGGTGAGAAAAAAAACGACAAAATATTTCCACACCTTCGGCTATCATTGACAGTAGAATGCTGTGAGCTCTTCTAACTTTTGATTTTGCAACTCCTGACGTTTCATTAAGACTTCATTTTCACTGAAAACCAACTGGCATTGCTTCTCCAATTGTTGCCTAGTGGATTAGAAAATTTCGTGAGAAAATAAAACCCTTCCGAAAAAAAAGCAAGTGGCTTGTTGCGAGTAAGTAGTCAAACGCGGCTAATCATGCAGATTTTCTTCGGAAAGAAATTGCGTATTCTCAAATTTTTAAAGGAAACAAGAAAATTTGTTTTGCTCCCGTTACACATGTACTTAATCTTTACTTTATTAAAACGGTAAGCCTTATCTTATATAGACAAACAGCCAAAATTGTTCACAAATAACCTCGGTTTTGATGAAACATTCCCTCCTTTTCCTAATTTAGATTATAAGAACTCCAGATTTTCTCGTTCGTTATTAAAAACACGAAATGTCCACTGTCTGAATAAATTATAAATTTTATAGTGATTTTTTCAAAAGTATTTCCCAATTGGAAAGTAGCTCTTTGGTAAAGAACACCTGGGGCCAGTTGCTCGAAAGGCGTTTAGCTTAAACGGTGGATAAGCCAAAGTTTAAAAATACTCTCATACATCTCGTGAATGACTGAACCTGCATCTTATGCATTCAATGTGTACTTCCATTGAGAATTAAACTATATTTGCATCGAAATATTACAGCTCAGTTGTTCAATAAATAGATCATTCTGTTTTCTATTTTAGACTTATCCACCGTTTAAGCTAAACGCCTTTTGAACAACCGGCCCCTGCACGACTTTTTAAAACCATATGCAGAAAGATTTTAATCAGGCACCAATGAACTAAGGGGCTGTTTACATGAGCCCGGTTACCCGAAATTCAACGAAGCGTGAGAGGACTTTGAGGTATTGAAATAAGTGTTTATGACACCAAACAAGCACATGCTATTTTTGTGGTGATTATACGACTGCCAGGATCATGTTATCTGCTCATTTCAATACCTTAAATTTCATCTCACGCTTCGTTGAATGTAAACAGCCCGTAATTTTGCAGTTTTGTGCAATTCATTCTCCGTCATAGCCGGGACAAATGAAAGCTTCTCAACCTTACACAATATAAAGTCAAGAAAGCATTAAAGACATAGTTTGTACTAAATATGCTGGTTATTTTGATCTCTCATTAGGAAGACAATAAAACTGCAGGTTGCAATTGTTTCTCCATTTTTGGGGGGATCTAAAAACTGTTCTACAGTTCTCTTTTATGCGTACAGAAAATTTTAAACAATTTTATTATTTCTTTTAAAATCAAAAACTACATAAGTAAATAAAATCATTTTTCATTCACGCATTTGTAAAATTTTTAAAGTGCATGTTAATATCACACGGTTGCGCATTTTGAATACATCAAAAGGTATTTTTAAAAAAATACGCAAAATATTTTGTTGCTGCAATGGTCTATTAGCCTTTAAAGTTACCGCACGTGACGTCAAATCGGAAATTTCGTACAACTTAAACAAAAGAAAACTGATTTGCAATGCCGTTATACCCACACGCGCGTTCAAAATTCCACATTGAAAACACATTTAGCGACATATATAGATAACGAAATTCACAGTTCTTACCATTTCATTAGCAGCATCCCTTTCTAAAGTTGTCTTTTCAGCCTACACACGCACAAAGAAGACGTTCAGAGAACGGTTGTACAAAGTTGAACCTCAATTGGTTCATTATATCTCATAGACACTAATACGGATTAGTTCCACTTACCACTTTTAGTACTTCACTTAGGGTGTTTTGCCCGGCAGCCTCCCTTTGATGAAGATGGGAAAATTGTTCTTTAAGAAGTACAGTCTTACGCTCATTTTTTCTAAGATAGAAAGGAAAAAGCATCTCTTCGATATACAGCGAGAAACAAGCAAAAGAAAACGCTTTGCAAGTACAGGCGATGCTCAAATCTCAAAATGCGATGACTTAATTCTGGAACATACTCAAGACAGATGACAAGTCATTATGAATGCATGCAAAACGATATCGAGCTTTCGTCCAACCGGGCACGTGTTATACATGTGATGTGTGACCATACCTTTGAAATTCTGTGAAACTGTGAATCTCTGTTTCTAATTGCGCATTAACCAACTTACAATCTGCAATGAGATAGTAAATCATATAATAATGAAAACAGCATTGCCTGTTTCCCAATCGAGGGACACAAGGACAGCATCAACTAGCGTTGAACCAATTTTTGGATATTCCTAATTTCTGAACTACGCAAAGGTACTGAAGTTCAAAAGTCGAAGACGACGAGTGGGTGAGACTAAAATTTCATATTCAAGTACGTAGGTACGTATCCGGACGTATCTTTAAATCACTGTTCGAAACATGCCAATTGCTGTACGATCTGTTTCAAAACCTCTAATGAATCGCAAGTGCTGTAAAACAACTTGCAGAGGTTATAGACATAGCTGCAATGTTACCTGCTAATTGCATCGACAGATTGTTATTCTCATTTCGCAGACCCTAAAACGAAAGTGGAATAAAATCGTAATTACGAAAGCAATATATAATTAATGGTATTTAAAAACGAACCTGCAGCTGAGAAGCGAGGGAGTTGATTTCTTCTTGCGTCTTTTCCCGTAATTCACTCAACTTTCTAAGAACAGAAACACCACGTGAGAGTGGAGAACCAAAGAGAATCATCGCGATTCTGAGAAAGGTGGAATTTTTGTTTGAAATAATTTAGAACCGCGAGTGGGCAATTACCGCGTGTATACGTAACCATGGAATGACTCAACAGTAAACCAAATGTTGGCAAATCATAGTAAAATTGTCGCAGTAAACAATTAACGTGGGTGTATTGGAAAATTCAAAATATGTTGACTAATTAATTAACAAAGAAATACATATCTAGTACATTAATCTAAAGGTGAGAAAAAAAACGACAAAATATTTCCACACCTTCGGCTATCATTGACAGTAGAATGCTGTGAGCTCTTCTAACTTTTGATTTTGCAACTCCTGACGTTTCATTAAGACTTCATTTTCACTGAAAACCAACTGGCATTGCTTCTCCAATTGTTGCCTAGTGGATTAGAAAATTTCGTGAGAAAATAAAACCCTTCCGAAAAAAAGCAAGTGGCTTGTTGCGAGTAAGTAGTCAAACGCGGCTAATCATGCAGATTTTCTTCGGAAAGAAATTGCGTATTCTCAAATTTTTAAAGGAAACAAGAAAATTTGTTTTGCTCCCGTTACACATGTACTTAATCTTTACTTTATTAAAACGGTAAGCCTTATCTTATATAGACAAACAGGCCAAAATTGTTCACAAATAACCTCGGTTTTGATGAAACATTCCCTCCTTTCCCAATTTAGATTATAAGAACTCCAGATTTTCTCGTTCGTTATTAAAAACACGAAATGTCCACTGTCTGAATAAATTATAAATTTTATAGTGATTTTTTCAAAAGTATTTCCCAATTGGAAAGTAGCTCTTTGGTAAAAACACCTGGGGCCAGTTGCTCGAAAGGCGTTTAGCTTAAACGGTGGATAAGCCAAAGTTTAAAAATACTCTCATACATCTCGTGAATGACTGAACCTGCATCTTATGCATTCAATGTGTACTTCCATTGAGAATTAAACTATATTTGCATCGAAATATTACAGCTCAGTTGTTCAATAAATAGATCATTTTGTTTTCTATTTTAGACTTATCCACCGTTAAGCTAAACGCCTTTTGAACAACCGGCCCCTGCACGACTTTTTAAAACCATATGCAGAAAGATTTTATACAGGCACAATGAACTAAGGGGCTGTTTACATGAGCCCCGGTTACCCGAAATTCAACGAAGCGTGAGAGGACTTTGAGGTATTGAAATAAGTGTTTATGACACCAAACAAGCACATGCTATTGTTGTGGTGATTATACGACTGCCAGGATCATGTTATCTGCTCATTTCAATACCTTAAATTCATCTCACGCTTCGTTGAATGTAAACAGCCCGTAATTTTGCAGTTTTGTGCAATTCATTCTCCGTCATAGCCGGGACAAATGAAAGCTTCTCAACCTTACACAATATAAAGTCAAGAAAGCATTAAAGACATAGTTTGTACTAAATATGCTGGTTATTTTGATCTCTCATTAGGAAGACAATAAAACTGCAGGTTGCAATTGTTTCTCCATTTTTGGGGGGATCTAAAAACTGTTCTACAGTTCTCTTTTATGCGTACAGAAAATTTTAAACAATTTTATTATTTCTTTTAAAATCAAAAACTACATAAGTAAATAAAATCATTTTTCATTCACGCATTTGTAAAATTTTTAAAGTGCATGTTAATATCACACGGTTGCGCATTTTGAATACATCAAAAGGTATTTTTAAAAAAAATACGCAAAATATTTTGTTGCTGCAATGGTCTATTAGCCTTTAAAGTTACCGCACGTGACGTCAAATCGGAAATTTCGTACAACTTAAACAAAAGAAAACTGATTTGCAATGCCGTTATACCCACACGCGCGTTCAAAATTCCACATTGAAAACACATTTAGCGACATATATAGATAACGAAATTCACAGTTCTTACCATTTCATTAGCAGCATCCCTTTCTAAAGTTGTCTTTTCGCCTACACACGCACAAAGAAGACGTTCAGAGACGGTTGTACAAGTTGAACCTCAATTGTTCATTATATCTCATAGACACTAATACGGATTAGTTCCACTTACCACTTTTAGTACTTCACTTGGGTGTTTTGCCCGGCAGCCTCCCTTTGATGAAGATGGGAAATTGTTCTTTAAGAGTACAGTCTTACGCTCATTTTTTCTAAGATAGAAAGGAAAAAGCATCTCTTCGATATACAGCGAGAAACAAGCAAAAGAAAACGCTTTGCAAGTACAGGCGATGCTCAATCTTCAAATGCGATGACTTAATTCTGGAACATACTCAAGACAGATGACAGTCATTATGAATGCATGCAAACGATATCGAGCTTTCGTCCAACCGGCACGTGTTTACATGTGATGTGTGCCATACCTTTGAATTCTGTGAAACTGTGAATCTCTGTTTCTAATTGCGCATTAACCAACTTACAATCTGCAATGAGATAGTAAATCATATATAATGAAACAGCATTGCCTGGTGTTTCCCAATCGAGGGACACAGGACAGCATCAACTAGCGTTGAACCAATTTTTGGGATATTACCTAATTTCTGAACTACGCAAGGTACTGAAGTTCAAAAGTCGAGACGACGAGTGGGTGAGACTAAAATTTCATATTCAAGTACGTAGGTACGTATCCGGACGTATCTTTAATCACTGTTCGAACATGCCAATTGCTGTACGATCTGTTTAAAATTAACCTCTAATGAATCGCAAGTGCTGTAAACAACTTGCAGAGGTATAGACATAGCTGCAATGTTACCTGCTAATTGCATCGACAGATTGTTATTCTCATTTCGCGACCCTAAAACGAAAGTGGAATAAAATCGTAATTACGAAAGCAATATATTAATTATGGTATTTAAAAACGAACCTGCAGCTGAGAAGCGAGGGAGTTGATTTCTTCTTGCGTCTTTCCCGTAATTCACTCAACTTTCTAGAACAGAAACACCACGTGAGAGTGGAGAACCAAGAGAATCATCGCGATTTGAGAAAGGTGGAATTTTTGTTTGAAATAATTTAGAACCGCGGGGCAATTACCGCGTGTATACGTAACCATGGAATGACTCAACAGTAAACCAAATGTTGGCAATCATAGTAAAATTGTCGCAGTAAACAATTAACGTGGGTGTATTGGAAAATTCAAATATGTTGACTAATTAATTAACAAAGAAATACATATCTAGTACATTAATCTAAAGGTGAGAAAAAAAACGAAATATTTCCACACCTTCGGCTATCATTGACAGAATGCTGTGAGCTCTTCTAACTTTTGATTTTTGCAACTCCTGACGTTTCATTAAGACTTCATTTTCACTGAAAACCAACTGGCATTGCTTCTCCAATTGTTGCCTAGTGGATTAGAAAATTTCGTGAAAAATAAAACCCTTCCGAAAAAAAAGCAAGTGGCTTGTTGCGAGTAAGTAGTCAAACGCGGCTAATCATGCAGATTTTCTTCGGAAAGAAATTGCGTATTCTCAAATTTTTAAAGGAAACAAGAAAATTTGTTTTGCTCCCGTTACACATGTACTTAATCTTTACTTTATTAAAACGGTAAGCCTTATCTTATATAGACAAACAGGCCAAAATTGTTTCAAATAACCTCGGTTTTGATGAAACATTCCCTCCTTTTCCCAATTAGATTATAAGAACTCCAGATTTTCTCGTTCGTTATTAAAAACACGAAATGTCCACTGTCTGAATAAATTATAAATTTTATAGTTTTTTCAAAAGTATTTCCCAATTGGAAAGTAGCTCTTTGGTAAAGAACACCTGGGCCAGTTGCTCGAAAGGCGTTTAGCTTAAACGGTGGATAAGCCAAAGTTTAAAAATACTCTCATACATCTCGTGAATGACTGAACCTGCATCTTATGCATTCAATGTGTACTTCCATTGAGAATTAAACTATATTTGCATCGAAATATTACAGCTCAGTTGTTCAATAAATAGATCATTTTGTTTTCTATTTTAGACTTATCCACCGTTTAAGCTAAACGCCTTTTGAACAACCGGCCCCTGCACGACTTTTTAAAACCATATGCAGAAAGATTTTTTATACAGGCACCAATGAACTAAGGGCTGTTTACATGAGCCCGGTTACCCGAAATTCAACGAAGCGTGAGAGGACTTTGAGGTATTGAAATAAGTGTTTATGACACCAAACAAGCACATGCTATTGTTGTGGTGATTATACGACTGCCAGGATCATGTTATCTGCTCATTTCAATACCTTAAATTCATCTCACGCTTCGTGAATGTAAACAGCCCGTAATTTTGCAGTTTTGTGCAATTCATTCTCCGTCATAGCCGGGACAAATGAAAGCTTCTCAACCTTACACAATATAAAGTCAAGAAAGCATTAAAGACATAGTTTGTACTAAATATGCTGGTTATTTTGATCTCTCATTAGGAAGACAATAAAACTGCAGGTTGCAATTGTTTCTCCATTTTTGGGGGGATCTAAAAACTGTTCTACAGTTCTCTTTTATGCGTACAGAAAATTTTAAACAATTTTATTATTTCTTTTAAAATCAAAAACTACATAAGTAAATAAAATCATTTTTCATTCACGCATTTGTAAAATTTTTAAAGTGCATGTTAATATCACACGGTTGCGCATTTTGAATACATCAAAATTTTTAAAAAAAATACGCAAAATATTTTGTTGCCAATGGTCTATTAGCCTTTAAAGTTACCGCACGTGACGTCAAATCGGAAATTTCGTACAACTTAACAAAAGAAAACTGATTTGCAATGCCGTTATACCCACACGCGCGTTCAAAATTCCACATTGAAAACACATTTAGCGACATATATAGATAACGAAATTCACAGTTCTTACCATTTCATTAGCAGCATCCCTTTCTAAAGTTGTCTTTCAGCCTACACACGCACAAAGAAGACGTTCAGAGAACGGTTGTACAAAGTTGAACCTCAATTGGTTCATTATATCTCATAGACACTAATACGGATTAGTTCCACTTACCACTTTTAGTACTTCACTTAGGGTGTTTGCCCGGCAGCCTCCCTTTGATGAAGATGGGAAAATTGTTCTTTAAGAAGTACAGTCTTACGCTCATTTTTTCTAAGATAGAAAAAAAAGCATCTCTTCGATATACAGCGAGAAACAAGCAAAAGAAAACGCTTTGCAAGTACAGGCGATGCTCAAATCTCAAAATGCGATGACTTAATTCTGGAACATACTCAAGACAGATGACAAGTCATTATGAATGCATGCAAAACGATATCGAGCTTTCGTCCAACCGGGCACGTGTTATACATGTGATGTGTGACCATACCTTTGAAATTCTGTGAAACTGTGAATCTCTGTTTCTAATTGCGCATTAACCAACTTACAATCTGCAATGAGATAGTAAATCATATAATAATGAAAACAGCATTGCCTGGTGTTTCCCAATCGAGGGACACAAAGACAGCATCAACTAGCGTTGAACCAATTTTTGGGATATTACCTAATTTCTGAACTACGCAAAGGTACTGAAGTTCAAAAGTCGAAGACGACGAGTGGGTGAGACTAAAATTTCATATTCAAGTACGTAGGTACGTATCCGGACGTATCTTTAAATCACTGTTCGAAACATGCCAATTGCTGTACGATCTGTTTAAAATTAACCTCTAATGAATCGCAAGTGCTGTAAAACAACTTGCAGAGGTTATAGACATAGCTGCAATGTTACCTGCTAATTGCATCGACAGATTGTTATTCTCATTTCGCAGACCCTAAAACGAAAGTGGAATAAAATCGTAATTACGAAAGCAATATAATTAATGGTATTTAAAAACGAACCTGCAGCTGAGAAGCGAGGGAGTTGATTTCTTCTTGCGTCTTTTCCCGTAATTCACTCAACTTTCTAAGAACAGAAACACCACGTGAGAGTGGAGAACCAAAGAGAATCATCGCGATTCTGAGAAAGGTGGAATTTTTGTTTGAAATAATTTAGAACCGCGAGTGGGCAATTACCGCGTGTATACGTAACCATGGAATGACTCAACAGTAAACCAAATGTTGGCAAATCATAGTAAAATTGTCGCAGTAAACAATTAACGTGGGTGTATTGGAAAATTCAAAATATGTTGACTAATTAATTAACAAAGAAATACATATCTAGTACATTAATCTAAAGGTGAGAAAAAAAACGACAAAATATTTCCACACCTTCGGCTATCATTGACAGTAGAATGCTGTGAGCTCTTCTAACTTTTGATTTTGCAACTCCTGACGTTTCATTAAGACTTCATTTTCACTGAAAACCAACTGGCATTGCTTCTCCAATTGTTGCCTAGTGGATTAGAAAATTTCGTGAGAAAATAAAACCCTTCCGAAAAAAAAGCAAGTGGCTTGTTGCGAGTAAGTAGTCAAACGCGGCTAATCATGCAGATTTTCTTCGGAAAGAAATTGCGTATTCTCAAATTTTTAAAGGAAACAAGAAAATTTGTTTTGCTCCCGTTACACATGTACTTAATCTTTACTTTATTAAAACGGTAAGCCTTATCTTATATAGACAAACAGGCCAAAATTGTTTCACAAATAACCTCGGTTTTGATGAAACATTCCCTCCTTTTCCCAATTTAGATTATAAGAACTCCAGATTTTCTCGTTCGTTATTAAAAACACGAAATGTCCACTGTCTGAATAAATTATAAATTTTATAGTGATTTTTCAAAAGTATTTCCCAATTGGAAAGTAGCTCTTTGGTAAAGAACACCTGGGGCCAGTTGCTCGAAAGGCGTTTAGCTTAAACGGTGGATAAGCCAAAGTTTAAAAATACTCTCATACATCTCGTGAATGACTGAACCTGCATCTTATGCATTCAATGTGTACTTCCATTGAGAATTAAACTATATTTGCATCGAAATATTACAGCTCAGTTGTTCAATAAATAGATCATTTTGTTTTCTATTTTAGACTTATCCACCGTTTAAGCTAAACGCCTTTTGAACAACCGGCCCCTGCACGACTTTTTAAAACCATATGCAGAAAGATTTTTTATACAGGCACCAATGAACTAAGGGGCTGTTTACATGAGCCCGGTTACCCGAAATTCAACGAAGCGTGAGAGGACTTTGAGGTATTGAAATAAGTGTTTATGACACCAAACAAGCACATGCTATTGTTGTGGTGATTATACGACTGCCAGGATCATGTTATCTGCTCATTTCAATACCTTAAATTCATCTCACGCTTCGTGAATGTAAACAGCCCGTAATTTTGCAGTTTTGTGCAATTCATTCTCCGTCATAGCCGGGACAAATGAAAGCTTCTCAACCTTACACAATATAAAGTCAAGAAAGCATTAAAGACATAGTTTGTACTAAATATGCTGGTTATTTTGATCTCTCATTAGGAAGACAATAAAACTGCAGGTTGCAATTGTTTCTCCATTTTTGGGGGGATCTAAAAACTGTTCTACAGTTCTCTTTTATGCGTACAGAAAATTTTAAACAATTTTATTATTTCTTTTAAAATCAAAAAACATAAGTAAATAAAATCATTTTTCATTCACGCATTTGTAAAATTTTTAAAGTGCATGTTAATATCACACGGTTGCGCATTTTGAATACATCAAAAGGTATTTTTAAAAAAAATACGCAAAATATTTTGTTGCTGCAATGGTCTATTAGCCTTTAAAGTTACCGCACGTGACGTCAAATCGGAAATTTCGTACAACTTAAACAAAAGAAAACTGATTTGCAATGCCGTTATACCCACACGCGCGTTCAAAATTCCACATTGAAAACACATTTAGCGACATATATAGATAACGAAATTCACAGTTCTTACCATTTCATTAGCAGCATCCCTTTCTAAAGTTGTCTTTTCAGCCTACACACGCACAAAGAAGACGTTCAGAGAACGGTTGTACAAAGTTGAACCTCAATTGGTTCATTATATCTCATAGACACTAATACGGATTAGTTCCACTTACCACTTTTAGTACTTCACTTAGGGTGTTTTGCCCGGCAGCCTCCCTTTGATGAAGATGGGAAAATTGTTCTTTAAGAAGTACAGTCTTACGCTCATTTTTTCTAAGATAGAAAGGAAAAAGCATCTCTTCGATATACAGCGAGAAACAAGCAAAAGAAAACGCTTTGCAAGTACAGGCGATGCTCAAATCTCAAAATGCGATGACTTAATTCTGGAACATACTCAAGACAGATGACAAGTCATTATGAATGCATGCAAAACGATATCGAGCTTTCGTCCAACCGGGCACGTGTTATACATGTGATGTGTGACCATACCTTTGAAATTCTGTGAAACTGTGAATCTCTGTTTCTAATTGCGCATTAACCAACTTACAATCTGCAATGAGATAGTAAATCATATAATAATGAAAACAGCATTGCCTGGTGTTTCCCAATCGAGGGACACAAGGACAGCATCAACTAGCGTTGAACCAATTTTTGGGATATTACCTAATTTCTGAACTACGCAAAGGTACTGAAGTTCAAAAGTCGAAGACGACGAGTGGGTGAGACTAAAATTTCATATTCAAGTACGTAGGTACGTATCCGGACGTATCTTTAAATCACTGTTCGAAACATGCCAATTGCTGTACGATCTGTTTAAAATTAACCTCTAATGAATCGCAAGTGCTGTAAAACAACTTGCAGAGGTTATAGACATAGCTGCAATGTTACCTGCTAATTGCATCGACAGATTGTTATTCTCATTTCGCAGACCCTAAAACGAAAGTGGAATAAAATCGTAATTACGAAAGCAATATATAATTAATGGTATTTAAAAACGAACCTGCAGCTGAGAAGCGAGGGAGTTGATTTCTTCTTGCGTCTTTTCCCGTAATTCACTCAACTTTCTAAGAACAGAAACACCACGTGAGAGTGGAGAACCAAAGAGAATCATCGCGATTCTGAGAAAGGTGGAATTTTTGTTTGAAATAATTTAGAACCGCGAGTGGGCAATTACCGCGTGTATACGTAACCATGGAATGACTCAACAGTAAACCAAATGTTGGCAAATCATAGTAAAATTGTCGCAGTAAACAATTAACGTGGGTGTATTGGAAAATTCAAAATATGTTGACTAATTAATTAACAAAGAAATACATATCTAGTACATTAATCTAAAGGTGAGAAAAAAAACGACAAAATATTTCCACACCTTCGGCTATCATTGACAGTAGAATGCTGTGAGCTCTTCTAACTTTTGATTTTGCAACTCCTGACGTTTCATTAAGACTTCATTTTCACTGAAAACCAACTGGCATTGCTTCTCCAATTGTTGCCTAGTGGATTAGAAAATTTCGTGAGAAAATAAAACCCTTCCGAAAAAAAAGCAAGTGGCTTGTTGCGAGTAAGTAGTCAAACGCGGCTAATCATGCAGATTTTCTTCGGAAAGAAATTGCGTATTCTCAATTTTTAAAGGAAACAAGAAAATTTGTTTTGCTCCCGTTACACATGTACTTAATCTTTACTTTATTAAAACGGTAAGCCTTATCTTATATAGACAAACAGGCCAAAATTGTTTCACAAATAACCTCGGTTTTGATGAAACATTCCCTCCTTTTCCCAATTTAGATTATAAGAACTCCAGATTTTCTCGTTCGTTATTAAAAACACGAAATGTCCACTGTCTGAATAAATTATAAATTTTATAGTGATTTTTCAAAAGTATTTCCCAATTGGAAAGTAGCTCTTTGGTAAAGAACACCTGGGGCCAGTTGCTCGAAAGGCGTTTAGCTTAAACGGTGGATAAGCCAAAGTTTAAAAATACTCTCATACATCTCGTGAATGACTGAACCTGCATCTTATGCATTCAATGTGTACTTCCATTGAGAATTAAACTATATTTGCATCGAAATATTACAGCTCAGTTGTTCAATAAATAGATCATTTTTTTTCTATTTTAGACTTATCCACCGTTTAAGCTAAACGCCTTTTGAACAACCGGCCCCTGCACGACTTTTTAAAACCATATGCAGAAAGATTTTTTATACAGGCACCAATGAACTAAGGGGCTGTTTACATGAGCCCGGTTACCCGAAATTCAACGAAGCGTGAGAGGACTTTGAGGTATTGAAATAAGTGTTTATGACACCAAACAAGCACATGCTATTGTTGTGGTGATTATACGACTGCCAGGATCATGTTATCTGCTCATTTCAATACCTTAAATTCATCTCACGCTTCGTTGAATGTAAACAGCCCGTAATTTTGCAGTTTTGTGCAATTCATTCTCCGTCATAGCCGGGACAAATGAAAGCTTCTCAACCTTACACAATATAAAGTCAAGAAAGCATTAAAGACATAGTTTGTACTAAATATGCTGGTTATTTTGATCTCTCATTAGGAAGACAATAAAACTGCAGGTTGCAATTGTTTCTCCATTTTTGGGGGATCTAAAAACTGTTCTACAGTTCTCTTTTATGCGTACAGAAAATTTTAAACAATTTTATTATTTCTTTTAAAATCAAAAACTACATAAGTAAATAAAATCATTTTTCATTCACGCATTTGTAAAATTTTTAAAGTGCATGTTAATATCACACGGTTGCGCATTTTGAATACATCAAAAGGTATTTTTAAAAAAAATACGCAAAATATTTTGTTGCTGCAATGGTCTATTAGCCTTTAAAGTTACCGCACGTGACGTCAAATCGGAAATTTCGTACAACTTAAACAAAAGAAAACTGATTTGCAATGCCGTTATACCCACACGCGCGTTCAAAATTCCACATTGAAAACACATTTAGCGACATATATAGATAACGAAATTCACAGTTCTTACCATTTCATTAGCAGCATCCCTTTCTAAAGTTGTCTTTTCAGCCTACACACGCACAAAGAAGACGTTCAGAGAACGGTTGTACAAAGTTGAACCTCAATTGGTTCATTATATCTCATAGACACTAATACGGATTAGTTCCACTTACCACTTTTAGTACTTCACTTAGGGTGTTTTGCCCGGCAGCCTCCCTTTGATGAAGATGGGAAAATTGTTCTTTAAGAAGTACAGTCTTACGCTCATTTTTTCTAAGATAGAAAGGAAAAAGCATCTCTTCGATATACAGCGAGAAACAAGCAAAAGAAAACGCTTTGCAAGTACAGGCGATGCTCAAATCTCAAAATGCGATGACTTAATTCTGGAACATACTCAAGACAGATGACAAGTCATTATGAATGCATGCAAAACGATATCGAGCTTTCGTCCAACCGGGCACGTGTTATACATGTGATGTGTGACCATACCTTTGAAATTCTGTGAAACTGTGAATCTCTGTTTCTAATTGCGCATTAACCAACTTACAATCTGCAATGAGATAGTAAATCATATAATAATGAAAACAGCATTGCCTGGTGTTTCCCAATCGAGGGACACAAGGACAGCATCAACTAGCGTTGAACCAATTTTTGGGATATTACCTAATTTCTGAACTACGCAAAGGTACTGAAGTTCAAAAGTCGAAGACGACGAGTGGGTGAGACTAAAATTTCATATTCAAGTACGTAGGTACGTATCCGGACGTATCTTTAAATCACTGTTCGAAACATGCCAATTGCTGTACGATCTGTTTAAAATTAACCTCTAATGAATCGCAAGTGCTGTAAAACAACTTGCAGAGGTTATAGACATAGCTGCAATGTTACCTGCTAATTGCATCGACAGATTGTTATTCTCATTTCGCAGACCCTAAAACGAAAGTGGAATAAAATCGTAATTACGAAAGCAATATATAATTAATGGTATTTAAAAACGAACCTGCAGCTGAGAAGCGAGGGAGTTGATTTCTTCTTGCGTCTTTTCCCGTAATTCACTCAACTTTCTAAGAACAGAAACACCACGTGAGAGTGGAGAACCAAAGAGAATCATCGCGATTCTGAGAAAGGTGGAATTTTTGTTTGAAATAATTTAGAACCGCGAGTGGGCAATTACCGCGTGTATACGTAACCATGGAATGACTCAACAGTAAACCAAATGTTGGCAAATCATAGTAAAATTGTCGCAGTAAACAATTAACGTGGGTGTATTGGAAAATTCAAAATATGTTGACTAATTAATTAACAAAGAAATACATATCTAGTACATTAATCTAAAGGTGAGAAAAAAAACGACAAAATATTTCCACACCTTCGGCTATCATTGACAGTAGAATGCTGTGAGCTCTTCTAACTTTTGATTTTGCAACTCCTGACGTTTCATTAAGACTTCATTTTCACTGAAAACCAACTGGCATTGCTTCTCCAATTGTTGCCTAGTGGATTAGAAAATTTCGTGAGAAAATAAAACCCTTCCGAAAAAAAAGCAAGTGGCTTGTTGCGAGTAAGTAGTCAAACGCGGCTAATCATGCAGATTTTCTTCGGAAAGAAATTGCGTATTCTCAAATTTTTAAAGGAAACAAGAAAATTTGTTTTGCTCCCGTTACACATGTACTTAATCTTTACTTTATTAAAACGGTAAGCCTTATCTTATATAGACAAACAGGCCAAAATTGTTTCACAAATAACCTCGGTTTTGATGAAACATTCCCTCCTTTTCCCAATTTAGATTATAAGAACTCCAGATTTTCTCGTTCGTTATTAAAAACACGAAATGTCCACTGTCTGAATAAATTATAAATTTTATAGTGATTTTTTCAAAAGTATTTCCCAATTGGAAAGTAGCTCTTTGGTAAAGAACACCTGGGGCCAGTTGCTCGAAAGGCGTTTAGCTTAAACGGTGGATAAGCCAAAGTTTAAAAATACTCTCATACATCTCGTGAATGACTGAACCTGCATCTTATGCATTCAATGTGTACTTCCATTGAGAATTAAACTATATTTGCATCGAAATATTACAGCTCAGTTGTTCAATAAATAGATCATTTTGTTTTCTATTTTAGACTTATCCACCGTTTAAGCTAAACGCCTTTTGAACAACCGGCCCCTGCACGACTTTTTAAAACCATATGCAGAAAGATTTTTTATACAGGCACCAATGAACTAAGGGGCTGTTTACATGAGCCCGGTTACCCGAAATTCAACGAAGCGTGAGAGGACTTTGAGGTATTGAAATAAGTGTTTATGACACCAAACAAGCACATGCTATTGTTGTGGTGATTATACGACTGCCAGGATCATGTTATCTGCTCATTTCAATACCTTAAATTCATCTCACGCTTCGTTGAATGTAAACAGCCCGTAATTTTGCAGTTTTGTGCAATTCATTCTCCGTCATAGCCGGGACAAATGAAAGCTTCTCAACCTTACACAATATAAAGTCAAGAAAGCATTAAAGACATAGTTTGTACTAAATATGCTGGTTATTTTGATCTCTCATTAGGAAGACAATAAAACTGCAGGTTGCAATTGTTTCTCCATTTTTGGGGGGATCTAAAAACTGTTCTACAGTTCTCTTTTATGCGTACAGAAAATTTTAAACAATTTTATTATTTCTTTTAAAATCAAAAACTACATAAGTAAATAAAATCATTTTTCATTCACGCATTTGTAAAATTTTTAAAGTGCATGTTAATATCACACGGTTGCGCATTTTGAATACATCAAAAGGTATTTTTAAAAAAAATACGCAAAATATTTTGTTGCTGCAATGGTCTATTAGCCTTTAAAGTTACCGCACGTGACGTCAAATCGGAAATTTCGTACAACTTAAACAAAAGAAAACTGATTTGCAATGCCGTTATACCCACACGCGCGTTCAAAATTCCACATTGAAAACACATTTAGCGACATATATAGATAACGAAATTCACAGTTCTTACCATTTCATTAGCAGCATCCCTTTCTAAAGTTGTCTTTTCAGCCTACACACGCACAAAGAAGACGTTCAGAGAACGGTTGTACAAAGTTGAACCTCAATTGGTTCATTATATCTCATAGACACTAATACGGATTAGTTCCACTTACCACTTTTAGTACTTCACTTAGGGTGTTTTGCCCGGCAGCCTCCCTTTGATGAAGATGGGAAAATTGTTCTTTAAGAAGTACAGTCTTACGCTCATTTTTTCTAAGATAGAAAGGAAAAAGCATCTCTTCGATATACAGCGAGAAACAAGCAAAAGAAAACGCTTTGCAAGTACAGGCGATGCTCAAATCTCAAAATGCGATGACTTAATTCTGGAACATACTCAAGACAGATGACAAGTCATTATGAATGCATGCAAAACGATATCGAGCTTTCGTCCAACCGGGCACGTGTTATACATGTGATGTGTGACCATACCTTTGAAATTCTGTGAAACTGTGAATCTCTGTTTCTAATTGCGCATTAACCAACTTACAATCTGCAATGAGATAGTAAATCATATAATAATGAAAACAGCATTGCCTGGTGTTTCCCAATCGAGGGACACAAGGACAGCATCAACTAGCGTTGAACCAATTTTTGGGATATTACCTAATTTCTGAACTACGCAAAGGTACTGAAGTTCAAAAGTCGAAGACGACGAGTGGGTGAGACTAAAATTTCATATTCAAGTACGTAGGTACGTATCCGGACGTATCTTTAAATCACTGTTCGAAACATGCCAATTGCTGTACGATCTGTTTAAAATTAACCTCTAATGAATCGCAAGTGCTGTAAAACAACTTGCAGAGGTTATAGACATAGCTGCAATGTTACCTGCTAATTGCATCGACAGATTGTTATTCTCATTTCGCAGACCCTAAAACGAAAGTGGAATAAAATCGTAATTACGAAAGCAATATATAATTAATGGTATTTAAAAACGAACCTGCAGCTGAGAAGCGAGGGAGTTGATTTCTTCTTGCGTCTTTTCCCGTAATTCACTCAACTTTCTAAGAACAGAAACACCACGTGAGAGTGGAGAACCAAAGAGAATCATCGCGATTCTGAGAAAGGTGGAATTTTTGTTTGAAATAATTTAGAACCGCGAGTGGGCAATTACCGCGTGTATACGTAACCATGGAATGACTCAACAGTAAACCAAATGTTGGCAAATCATAGTAAAATTGTCGCAGTAAACAATTAACGTGGGTGTATTGGAAAATTCAAAATATGTTGACTAATTAATTAACAAAGAAATACATATCTAGTACATTAATCTAAAGGTGAGAAAAAAAACGACAAAATATTTCCACACCTTCGGCTATCATTGACAGTAGAATGCTGTGAGCTCTTCTAACTTTTGATTTTGCAACTCCTGACGTTTCATTAAGACTTCATTTTCACTGAAAACCAACTGGCATTGCTTCTCCAATTGTTGCCTAGTGGATTAGAAAATTTCGTGAAAAA